TTTCATTACCTGATTAATGTTGGCATTAAATGTGCGTTTGCCGACCGAAAAAGCTGATCGCCCTCGATTCTCGGCAAATACACGATATTATTTTTTGTATATTCTGCGGACCTAACATGCAATTAAGAAGCAACTTGTACGCGAAACCGAAATAAAAATCCAAGGTGTTTTACTGTTGTGCAGTTTTCATTCATTCTAAATAAATATAATGAAAAATGCTTCCATTCACTGAACATACTGTCTCAGGAGTCTATCGCTGAATACGAGAATATACAGTTTAGCACAAAGCTGCCCTGTAATCCGTGGGAGCTGGTACGAGCCTGTGTATAGACTGGGCAACCCTCGCATTTCCTTCAGTCTACCTGCTACTGGTGCTAGTTGCGCTGCATCGTGCATCGGTAATGCGTACTGGCGTGTGCTGTTGATGCATTTTGTAGCCCTGGGTCGGCATTAGCTGTTGGTATTTGAATTATGACAATGACCCAAAATGTCATGCACTATGTGCTAACTGATTGCAAGCATTGCTCACCAACTGCGGACGCATCGTTAATGCATATTCGTCTAGATTTGTGGACGAAGAAGTGCCCCATTCTCGAGACATAGTATTCGCCAATATCCTCTTTTCTTATAAAGTCTTGCCTGCCACCAATTTTAGCGCCTAAAACCATTGACCCAATTTCCTTGATCAGGGAACAAGTAACCTACCCCGGCCTTCCCCACGGTCCAACATTCCAACTCCCTGTTCAATCAGAGTAGTCACGGGTTCGTGCAACTCCCACCAGCGTTGCTCACACCCAGCGAGCCGTTCACTGATCCCGGAGTAGGAGGCTTGGCAAGGCAACTGAGTATACAATCACCATTTCAATTTTCGACCCGAACTGACCAGCACGAATTTCTTTTGGTTGTTAAAATATGGCTTAATCCCTACTGAGACTTCCACAGCAAGCCACGTGAATATCGAAGCAGCCGCAGTTTCCGCACTGCAATAGGTAACTTTCGTGACGAAGTCAATCCCAGAAACTTCGCCAGTTCTGGATTTTGCAGTTCTAGAATAACAGCAGCGTCGTATTTCTATTCTCCCTTCGAGTGTGGGTACTTCACTGGACCCAGGCGCATTTACAACGTGAATTCATCGCTTGATACACGTACCTCTTTTATGACTCACATCGGTCTCACCGAATGTTTTAGAGGATGGAACCACAACGCTTGTTTCTCTTCATGTAGTCAGCATCAATTTGATCATACAATCGTTCCCATCCTCACGTCAAATGTGCTTGCGTTTGACCGTCATCCGTTGTGGCGTTCATTTTTACTCATTGATAAGATGCGATGGAGTGCATATGGTGCCACATCGCAATTCGCGACCTCTGTCCCACATGATTCTCCGAGTCAAGGTGTGTCTTCGTGGCGATCTCATGGAACATCGGTTCTTCAACTCTCGGGGTGTAATTGCGGCAAATTCGTCTCAACATTCGCAGAGGCATTTCTCGAAGAGGGTCTTGGACTTGACTACGTGCATCAAGGAAATCGATGACCGAAAGTTAGTTGCTCATGGATACGCGGCGAGGTATGCATTCACCACATGAGTACCTATTCCCAGTCTGCAGTGGATGTCGCGTTCCTGTGTAAAAAGTCGGTCCTTCAGAGACAAAACGTATATTCTGCAAACAAAAGGACCAGGCGAAAACGGAGGCAGAGGGCGAGTGAAACCTATCGGTATCTACAGCTAGTTGGATCCATAATTAACGACCTTTGTGAATGCATGACATTTTGCCTTTGATTCAGTCAAACAACTCACTCCATTGCGTCCAACTGTTGGCCAATCAGCGTGCATGTGAGAAACGTTTGAACGTCCAATCGGCTGCCGCCTTTCCTTGCGGCAGCCTAACGGCTTCCTTGCTGGGCTGGCACCGCACGTTCGTTCGAGTGTATACTCCCATCACACCTGTAAGTAAGATCAAATGGAGTGCAAGTGAGCGTTACATCCACGCATTTGGATAAGCAGAATGTATTACCCTACAACGTACTTGGACAATCGAATATACACGTAGACGTATCATATTACATTTTCCTCATTGGTCTTCTTCCAGTAAAGTGAACCACAATGATACGCTTGATTAGTATTCCTGCGATTAATGAGCAAGATCTAGTATACTGCTCGTGCCATTAATTAACCGGCATGCTACTCCATGGATTTTTCGTTTGTATTTGGGACGCTGCCTTGGACAGCGTCATGAGGCAATCGCTCATAATTATATTGAGCATGAATACATTAGAAGCACACGTGTATGTTTCCGGTGGTTAAGTTTATACCAGTCACCCTGGCAGAGTGGAACCCAGGCATTATTGACCAGTAGATAACCACGTTCGTTTGAGTATTTAATCGTCGGTGCAGTGCCCACCTTCAGCATCTAAACAAAGAGATGTAGCAAATTCGACAACGAATCCTGGGAAGATAGATCAGATTACGAGAGACGTTATATTGGTTATCAGCGCTCAGTTTCCTACACAACATTATAAGAATTTGAAGTGTTCATCCATCGCCTGAATGGACGCTTGATTCCCATTCCAACTCGAAATCGCTGGCGCCCCAATGGACAAGAGAAAAGACCGGATCGGACTAGCAGAGCAGCCGGGATGTATTAGCGAATCACTCCGTTCATTATAAAGGTAAAATGGAAACTTCGTGAATAGTATTTAAAGCGACCGTGGAAACCTCTGGAAAGGTTAACTTACAACCAATAAAGGTACTTCGACGTAGCTTTCATTGGCCGCTTCTCCTGGTTGGCTCGCAGTTCGTCCCAATCAGGGCGGATGAATTTGGATGGTCGGCCGTGGTGATGGGGTTCTGTCTTGTTCACATCACGGATTCCTTCCTAACATAATTCAGCTTGACGTACGCTGCAGGGCGACAGCTGTTCCCAGAAGCAGGCCGACGTGATATTTCCAACCTTGTGGCAGAGAGAAGGCATTCTCACTGGAGCACGAAATCGCGGATTTGTGCCGCGAGGGAAGTGGTCGAAACAAACGGTTAGGTCTACTTACATTTTCAACTGAAGTCTGGGTTGAAGAGCAGATGCAGGCCATCTTGAAAGTGGATATGATCAAAGTTAATTACAGCCCACAATTGGCTGCAGGTTTTGATAAATGGAACCATGGTAAAATACTGTTATCGCCTCGAATTCAGAGAGTTGAATGAAATTTCCTTGTATCAGTTCGTCTCGGTGCCGTCAGAGGCAGACATCAACAAACTACCTTACTTAACAATATTTTCGGTAATCAACCTGAGATCTTCATACTGCCAACCAACAAGCAAACGCCAAGATCGGAAGTAATATGTCTTTACAGTTGAGGGGAAGCAGTACCCATTTAAAAGAATTTCGTTTGGCTACTCTGGCGCCCCATTCATCTCGAGAACATTGGACGCTGCGCCTACTAGATGGCGTAACTCATGTGACTATTTATGTAAATGACATCGTGAGATATACTCGATTGTAGTGTTCACTGCCTTCATCCGGAGGCAAAGTTATAACAAATTCAGCACTCATGATTGCGGATAAATATTGTGCTTGTTTATCACGAGCTACTGGCTGTCCGGTGTGTGAATAACAGAGTGTGCAACCAAACGGACCGTCACCTGCCCGTGTGCACACAGTGTAGCCGTGTATTTCACGTGTCTAAGTAATGGATAAATTCCCCTCCTCCCATCTTCTGTCCTCTTTTGTGAGACAGCACACTTCGTGCGTGGTCCGATCCGATTCATACTGAACTTCGAAATGCGCAAGTGCAAGGGCCACGTCTGTTTCACGTGTTCACTAGCGAGCTTAAAACTGATAGGTTTGGGTTTCTTACATATTGTTGGTGATGTTAAACAATTAGCGGGCGATCACCGCGCATGTAGATCCCGATGTATTTCAATGTGACCTGGTCACTGCGTATAGATGGTCATTGCACAATATGCTTGCGTTTAATTCAACCAATTTAAACGTACTCCAAATTTGGCATCAGCTAAACATTAAATATGTGCTTGGAGATCATGTCGTGCAAGCAGACAGTCAGGAGCGCGATCTTGGGTCACTAATTCAGACTGATCTGGTTTGCTCAACATAAGAGAGGGTCAAAGAATGGCAACCAATACGTTAGCATGTTGCGGAGTACATTCCGACAGTTTGATCCTTCTGTCTGTTCTCAATTGCTGACCGCATACGTGCGGCCTCAAATGGATTACCCAATCTAGGTCTAGCAGCCACGGCTTAAGCAAGACCTAGCAGCGCTCGGCACTACACAGCGAGGAGGCACCAAGCACGCCAAATTATTGTTTCACCGTCCATACCAAATTATGCTAAGAACTCTAAGGTTATACAGTGGGCAGTAACAACTTCTACTTTGAGACCTATTAATACCTTACCGGATTCCGAGCAACCAGCACCATGATTTATGCAACATGCTGCAACTTAGCAACTATTCGAACCTGTGGGCCACCATTTTAAGTTGACAACGCATTACAGTCAGCTAAGATACCACCGAAATGTTTGCTCTCATTGTGTGTGATAGCCTTAGAAGATTGTCTCTACTGGTCGCGATATTGCCCCCACTAGATGTCTTTGAAAACGCTTTGACGTTCCCCTAATCCACCTACATTACCAGATATAGCCAGTGTACATCTACAGACGGTATAGCGTGGCAAAGGGAGCACCAATCAGCATTGCCCTTAACAATCGACACCGGCGCCTTTACACATGCCTCACTGGCAAACACTATGGTGGGTCCACTAAGAGGCTATTCGTTGTATCACCATGGCTACTTTTCACCATTTACTGGTTTATATTCTGCTATCTCACGGGACTTGGCAAGCACTTGATTTTTACCCTTGTTCTACGGACCAGCAACGAACAGTATAAAAGTCAACTAATGCTGTCGAAAATGGTTAGTTATAGTGGAGGTCAATACTACAGTTGGTTAGTTTTATTTTGTACCGGGCCACTTTGGGTGTGTCACTGATGTTAGGCCACGACTTTTCCGTTTCAGCCTTTCACCTATTGCAACTGAGGTGCATGTTTTCCGCCGAACCGGATCGGTCTCCCATTACGGATGTGGAGGGTGAGGTTGGTGATGATGTGGACGACGAAGATGAGCTCGAGGACAGTGAGAATGGCTCCGTCTGGACTCTGTTCCCTTTCGGTAAGTGCCGGCGTTCGCGCTTAACTCCACCCGTCAACTCTAAGACTTTGCTAACTGAGAGGAGCCGGGTTCGTCAATTCTTCGCTTAAGAACGCCGCGTCTACATTTTTTTCGCCGCCTGCAACTGAATATGCGGCCGAAGTGAGATTTGTTAGAGTGGCTTCTGGTGGGGAAATTTCGTGGTCACTGCATAGAACTCCTGATGCCAAATTAACCATTATGTGCTTCCGTTACAGAATATAAGGATTATGCAGGAATGGATATTTTTCACATGCACATTAGCCATTGTGCCGTCTAGTTTGATCCTTATATTGAATGAACACCCGTTCAAACTTGGCGCGTACATAGACGCTTGCAAAGTAAGTTTATTATTATTAATATTATTATTAACAGTAGAGGTAGTAGTAGTAGTGATAATAGTAATAGGAGTAGTAGTGGTAATATTAAAAGTAGTGGTAGCAGTAGTATTATTGGTGGCAGTAGTAGTAGTGGTATTAATATTACTGTTATGATTAGTAGTAGTATTAGTGATAGTATTAACAGTAGATGTTGTTGTTTTTGTAGCAATAGTGACAAGCATAGCATCGGTAAACTTAGTGCTGGTAGTAGTAGTAGTAGTAGTAGTAGGGGTATGGTATATTTTCCTTTCGACCTAGCAGCTGTGCGTAGCGGATGAGACAACCAGATATGGAGGCTGATTCGAAGCGAGGGTGAGAACCAGGTTAGGTTAACAATGTTCTATCAGTTCAGGCATTTTGGTCTAACAGTACGCCAAGCGTAGGCGCGTAAGCGAAAAAGTGGTATAAAGAATTTGGGACATAGGAATGGGAGTGTTTGAAGCTGAATTTTTAAGGTTCACTTTGCCAGCTGGCATGCTTACACATGGCAATGCAAGTGGATCAAAGCCGGCGAAGTAGTACCGTAAAAATTATAAGTGTGTTGGGCGCGTCATACAATTTCAAATAACTTCGGTAAGTGAATGTTCATTTCCATTGACCTCACAGAATGTCGGCACGGATGTTTTGCATTCCGGACTAAGCTGCTACCCAAATGAGAAGATAAAGACCTTGATAAGGGAATCCTTTTTATCCCGAAACTACACCATCGCACACACCATCTGACTACGCTTTCCAACAAATGATTTATTTGAGGCGCTTCCATGCTACCGAAGGCAGGCGAGCCACTCTCGTCGACTAACTCAAAGGCTGAATAACTATTATTAACTAACTCTAAAAATGAGTGTCATTGTTTGGCCTACTATTGCTTGCTGACACCTGCGATTATGGCTAGTTGGCATGGACTGTTCTTCAACGTATTTCTGGCCGCAGATTGTTGTTTACTTGGTTCACCCAGCCGCCTCGAGTGAAAGAACTCGCATTGACTCCCCACACAAACGCTCTGTTAACAAATATGAGGCAAAGTACAACTAGCTGTGTATGCAAAACTCACTCGCCCACTCGAGCGATCGCATTATCGGCCTCGTTAAGACAGGCGAGTCCCTCCGCCTCAGCTTTCAAACGTCATCACATGCTTACTTTTTTGTTTTTTTCCATACTTCGTGTGTTGCAATCGCCGTAGCCACTTCCACTGCGGGCGAGCTTCAAATTGCTTTGTGCTTGCATAGAAGCTGTACTAGATTGTTGCCGAATTCTCTAGGGGTATTTGTCCAAGTAGCGTTACATAAGGATCCGCATGCGCTTTTCTTACTTTGCTAAGTCGATTCGTTCCTTCTTGCAAACCTATGCCACAGCCTTTCATTTCGGAGGTATCAGCAAGTTGTTCCACCCTTTGTGAAAACTCCATGTCGAACTGAACTGCACTCCGGTGCAGTGCGTCTCAAACGATGTACTCACGGCGACTGTTATATAAATTTTGACAGTCCTGATCGGTCTTAATTTGTCGGTGCCGCTATAATCCTTTCGTGCTCCTCGCGATCCAACATGTAATTTATTGAAATTTATTACTTTTCTTGCCGACTTTCAATATTAACTCACTGACGCTGGCCGATGGGCAGCAGCGAGCGACAAGGTTTGGTCGGTCCTCACAATAATCACCAAACCACTCGAGTATACTTGAAAGATCTGCTTCTTTGTCATAATCACATAAGTTTCAAGCTTCTATTATTCGTCTCGCATCTTCACCGATGCAGTACCAGAACATCGACATTTGATATGATCTCCGATATTCATCTAACGCGATCAACGTAGGGAAATCCATCCATCTCGCTTTCCACGTCCTCCGGCAATCCGGTAATATACGTTCTGTCATTTGTAGGAGATGTGGCAATGGAACCAATGTTTGTACATCAAATGCGAGCGGGGTTAGGTACGGCAGCATCTAAGTCACCATGTTTTGTGCTTGGTTCACCGAGCCACGTCGAGAGAAAGAACTCACACTGACTCTGTACACAAACGCTCTGTTCACAAATCTGAGGCAAAGGATAACTAGCTATGTATTTGCAACTCAGGCGCCCACTCGATCGATCGCCTTATCGAGCGCACAGAGGCAGGTGATTCCCCCCGCCTCAGTTTTCAGCCACCATCACACAGGTGTCGTGACGGTTGCGACGTTCCGTGTATATCTTGCCGCATTTTTGGCGGTTTACAATACTTTGCTTTCATTTTATCAGCCTTCTGTAAGTTGGTTCCACAAATTCCAGCGCCATCTCCACATCTGCTAATGTTGGGCAGAACATTGGCAAGTTTGCTTCTGATATCCGCATCAATTTCTCCCGTGCGTTGCGCTCATCTGCTCCACGTGCAAGGCCAGATACTCATTCCCGGCGACATTTCTCATTGGCAGCAGATATTCTTCGTTATCTCGTGCGTTTTATCAGCTGCATCATTTACACATGCGGTACTGTCACTTCATCCTTGCCATTCCACCCACCTCTCTGTTTTGGACGTGACGCTGCTCCGGATCTTGCTCTTCGTCAGATTTCTTTATCCCCTCGGGCGTCTAGGCGATATCGTGAGGATTCTCGGTTGAGGTCTGCAGCGCAGTCCCCTACAACGAAGTAGTCTGGGTCTAGTTCTTCTGAGAAACAACCTCAGTCACGAGTCTCTGGACAGCAGTCTTCTTTTGAGCTCAAACAGTAGGAGCATCGTTATGATCGCTCCCGAACTTCGAGCCAGACTGTGTCATCCATTCCGCGTCATCCATTTCCGCGCTTACAACTCAAGTGGTCCGGAGTTTAGCCGACTTGGTCGTAAGGCGATATGCTCTGGCCGTTCGCAAGGTTTCAAACAGTCGGCGGCCACGTCGAATTCGTGTTGACTCAGGCCGTGTTGGTCGGTTTCGTCGAAGTCGTCCCCTCTCCCCCTCCAAACTGTGCCGGTCGGCTAGCACTGAGTCATCACCATCACGGATCCATGCGCCCGCAAATGGGGTGGGGGTGGTTTTCAGCTCACACAATTCGGAGGCCACCCCGGCATTTGTGACCGACCATGTAGTGAAACATTTCCCATCCAATTCCGTCTGTTATTCAGTTCAGCTTTGTTACTTTTACTAATAGCTCAGCACGTTTTTCCGCTTCGCTAACCTCTGGCTTGTCCCTTTTGTACTCAATCCGTCACACACAAACCCTTATCCCGGTCGGAGTAACCCTATTATAAAGCCGTTAGTATAGACTATTCATGCCGGCACTTTGAACTAAGGTCCTATTTGCGCGGTGTGTAACGCCCGTGGGACCACGACCGCACCTCGAATCCCTATCGCCAGCATTCCCCAATCCTCATGATGAAGTGTTTGCGTTTATGTATGTATTTTGAACAAAAGCGGCAACTCCGCATGTTGGAACATCTACCGTACCGTTTAGTTTTGGACTGCGTGTTTCTGTCACCGAAACCTTTCTTGTTTTCTCTTTTCATGCCGATTTATCGTTCATCGTAAACCCTGGACCTCTCAACGAGTTACTGTTTCCTCAGCGATTGTCCATCCTTGGTACTCATCCGTGGCCAACATTCGATAGTTACGCAGCTGTTAACTTGCCCATCCATTGCTGCGTCATTTGGCAAAGTTTTGAGTGGAAAAGTTCATTAATATCTCTGCATCCTTCGATGATGAAAGACTGAAATTGAGAGTCAGCACAGGAGGCGGTCCTTGCCAATGTTTCAGAAAAGCTTTGAAATTCAACGGTGCAAAGCATAGCCCGAAACGAGTGACCACCAGTGCTACTCTGTCCAGATCCGCTTGGCACATTTGTGAGCTGCCACAGATGAAGGCAATGTCGTCAGAGTACTCCAAGTCAGGAAGTCGTTCATCTAGGATCATATGCACCTCTTCTAATTGTTGCGTAGCAACTGACGCCTTCACCCCACAACCGCAAGAAGAAGTCCAAAGACGAGCCGGAAAGAGACTTGTACACATGAAATCGCATTTGCTTATATAGTTTTAAAGGCAAACTGAAAGGAAGCTACTAAATTACACTTAAGCCAACCAACAAAAGGAAAAGCCAAATGCAACGGGCCAATAAGAAACCGCGTAATCTAGAGCGAATCGCAAATGTCCTTAAAGTTAGCATCGTGAGGCCCCAAGCGTAAAGCGAACGTCCATTTACAGTGACGGGCACTGGCCAAACAGTATAACGAAATGTAGCGTTTAAACCAATGTCACGAAACAAACGAGAATAAGGAATGCAGACCCCAAAGTTGAAAACTAGTACAATAATTATGTGCCAATTAATATTCCTTTAACATAGGCAAGTTGAAAAGTGATGAGGAGAATATCATTGGAATATGTTCGTGCAAATGGCACTGCTGAAGATGACACGGAGCTGAGCGTCCACTAACAATGACGTGTGCGTTATCAATCGGGCCAACACAACGGAGCATTTAAACAAGAGTCAAAAAGTGGAAAGTAGGAGGAATGAATAATGCCTGTTAAGCTCGTTTGCAAACAATGAATGTCAAAGAACTATTCGCTTGCCACCTCCCACTTAGCTCTTCCGACGCGGATCTAACTGCAGAGGCTGCAGAAATCTTCTTGTTCAATTGGCTTGTACCGGCCTCCATTTCCTAAGCATTCCATGGGACGAAGCTCATCACCTGGAGAGTTAGTAGGCTTGCCATTGTCCAGCAATTTATTGAGCGCAAATTCATTGCCTTGCGGAACGATCATACCATGTGAATACCATGACCTCAACTGATCGACCTGGCGTCTCCATATCTGTGTGCCAAGTTGAATATCATACATCACCTTACGTCGGCGTCGAAAGACTCGTCCTGCTATC